TATTGCAGAAACATGAGACTTATTCTAGGCTTACTGCCACATGAAAACTTGTGTTTCATCCAGCTGTTAACAGCTGTCCTAGTAGGAGGCACTGCTGCTCCCTACAGATCTTGTCCTACATTTAAAACTAAATTAAATGTCCACATTCCAGGGAAAGAATACAGTGTGGAGGATGCTTTAAGTTACTTGATGAGTAACTCCAAACACTTCAGCAACACAGCCATTTTAGCACAGTATTACAGCCAAGACTGATTTAGCATGTTCATTTCTCAATTACAACTATTACTGGTTCTAGCACTTTTCCACCCCTGCATGAACCTGTCCCTTCTACCAGCAGTGTCTGATCTAGGACTCCTACAAATGTTACTTCAACTTTGATTAAATAATTTAAACTTCGGGTTTTCAATGGAAAATCCAGTGTCAAGAAAATGAATATTGCATTTGTCAAAAAAACTTTTGTATCAAGAAGGAACCTGTCGTCCGGTAACAGCAAAGGCAGACTACAATCCAGACCAAACCCTGTGAAGACAGACCACACATGAACAGAACAGTATACCCCTGTACATCCTGTATGTATTATTTTGGCAATATCTTCCTGCAGGGAAACCAGCCCCTCTCTGAAGAACATTATCCCGTGGTAAAATTCTCTCCTTTTTCTCAATTTTCAGGGACTGTTACCACATTACAGCAACTTTTTGGGGGGCAACTAGAATTTTCCAGGTGTATCTACTACCATTTCAATAGCCTACTTTCTTTTTTGGTGGGTTTTTTTTTTGGTAGGTGGGGTTTTTTTGTTTTGTTGGTTTTTTTCAGAAATAGATTCTGAGAACTGTGTGTGTTTCTGATAGATATCTGGATAAACCAGTACAGGAAGTTATCCAGCTGCTTTGCAGCAAAGAATTCAGACAACTTTACCTCCTCAGTTTTAGCTTCTCCATTTTCTGCAGGCAAGTTGTCCTTTGTCTGTTCTTGGTTTGTCTCTTCTGTCTGTTTTCCTTTAGGCCCCTTTTTCCCCTTTGTTTGAACCTTCTTGTCCTCAGATTTATCCTGCAATGAAATAAATTTCCAGTACCTAAATTCCTATGACCTACTAGCCAAAGTTTGGAAAAACCCACACAAAACCAAGATAGACTTGCTAAGCAGAGGGAGCTACTACCAACAACCAATGAGTGAATACATAGTTCAACTGTCAAAAAAGTTTGTCAAACTACATATAGGCCAACAATCACAGTTCCAGACAGTAAAATTAGAGAATCAAACTGGGACGGGAAGATTATCAGATTCTAACAGCTAGACAGGTTTGTAATATATGGTTTAGCCTTGTGGCACATAAAAAATAACAACGTGGTCCTTCTGCCCTGTAAATACAAAGCACTTCAAACACTCTTTTTCCCTCTAATATCAACAGGGCAATTTCTGTAACCTAACCTAAACAAAAGCATCGCCTAGAAGTATAATTTCCAGTGCTCCTGTTGTCACTGTTTCAGTCACATCCTCTGTGCCCACATGATGTTGTTAAATGAGTAGATTAAAAGTATTTATTCAAGAGCTACTTTCATATAAATACATAATACATCATCCCAGACGTTCTCTACAGCAAAATTTTTCAAGAAATGACAAACTGTAATGCTTTTTCTGGAAGGTACAATGCGAGTATGTGGCGAGAGAACATAACCTCTAAGCAGAAGACCACTACACTTCAAATGTGTCTGATCTCATTAAAAATACTGTGTGCATTTCACAAGTATTTTCTCCAAATTATGTCCTAATTTGTTGCCTCTAACATAAAATTCACTCCAAGAAATAATGTTTTTATTTTTGCATACTTTGAGTAATGTAGATGTGTATCTCAGATTACTATTAGAAAATATTTGGTCAGAAGCATTCTGTCCTATCTTCACTCCAAGCATTCTTCCCCACAAGACCCATACAACTTTCTTACTTCACACACGCAACTTTCTAATAGCTATCTGAATACGCTTCCAATTGTCCATGAATGCTCTTGTAAAATTCTGTCTTCATAAAAATAGAGTTTTGCCAATGAACTGCAACTACTGAGCAAAAGTTCTAAGTTTTTTTACACCACTGGATACAAACATGCATATACAAGAGATGGCAAAGTGAGAACAGTCAATGCTGAAGCATCTTATTCAGGTAACTAAACTGTCAATGTCCACAAAATTTTAGAAATACTTTGCTCCTATTTTTAGGAAAGTTTCTGAAATCAAAGAGCACAGTGAACACAGCTGTAACATGCTAATGGAAAAAAGAAAATACTAAAAAAGTTAAAGGCTAAGCTCAGTATTACAAATTCAGGTAACAGTTTCATAACATGAAGACTTCTGTAGCTTGATTGTCAAAATATATTTTTCTCCATTTCTATTTATTTTTTTTTTAACTCACCAAGTAACTCCGTAATGAGCAAACTTCTTCAATCCGAAAAATACTGTCAGGGAAGTTTTTAAAAGTTACAAAGTTGATGTAAAGAAACATCTTTTTTTATGGATGAAATACAGAAAAAAAACATAGTTTAAAACTTAAAAATCTATCATTTCATTGGTAACTGAAATATTTCTGCAACCATTTAAAGAAAAGTCCAGAGACAGCTAAAATAAAAAAGTATTGAAGCTGGAGAAGTAAACTACAAAGAGATTCAAAAGCCCAAAGATTTTTACATTAACAATAAGAAAGTTTCCAAACAGCAAGAGTTAAGTGACAGCACAAGTTCTAGAACAGAGGATCACATGTAAAACAAGTTACACATCTATTTGAATTGCCAATGGCAACAGCAGTTAAAAAAAAAAAAAAAGGGAAAAAAAAATAAAAGATTGTTGACATATTCACATTACAGCAGTATTCCAAGGGGGCATCATGCAACGTGTTCTACTTGATATTCTAAGGTGACAACTGCTTGTGATGTACTTGGTTTGCATGAGTATGCTCCCTGCTATGAACTGTAGAAATACTTCTTTCTGCAAGTAAAGCAGTTACAAGCAGGAAGCCATACCATGGATATCAGTCAGCACCGACCAGCAGCATTAAGAATTAGACGCACCACACAAAAGACACTGAAAAAAAAGAGAATCATAACTGAAGTAAAACTGGAAAACTTCCCCAAATTCTTTAGGCTTACGACTTTGAGAACCCGAATGCACCGATATTCAAACCACTGGAATGAAGGTGCATTACTGAGAACTGTTCAGTAGGATTAATGAGAACATCAAAAAGCCTACAAAGCAAAGTTCTGTGTTAGTGTAGTTGAAATTATCTTAATCCATACATTAATAAGAAAAGCTTATAATCACAAAGGAACACTTCAAGCCACATATACCAACAAGCCAACAGACATACAGCCTCTTATTTCTTCCACAAAACACAGTACTTTGCGCCTGCTATTGGTGGCTTGAAGGCTATATTGGAAAACCAAGATCATGCTAACCCACCCTTGTTTATGCACACAAATACCTGAAAGCTAGACTACATGAGTGAAACTCAGATGTTTTTCAGTAGCTACCTAAGTAATTCAAGTATTTTTTCCTGTCCTAACACACTGCCTTAAATTTTAAGTGTATTTTAACCCCTTTTGTTACAGTGATGAAACACAATCCTATGTACAGTTGCTTTGATGCTCCAGTAGTTCTGCAAAGTACCTAATTACCACCCAGGAATTGGTGTCCATATTTCTATGCAATACCATGAGTGCTTAGCAAAATCTACTTGAACAGTGGCTAAATGTACCAGTGGATACTGGCAGAAGCACCTGAAAAACGATGTTTCAGAGAAGTGAGAGTTCACACAAGTAACATACGAAGAAACTCTGGGGATGCCACTGGGGCACTTGCACAAGCTCTCAACCACCTCTTCTCCCTCTCCTCTTCCCTGCCATTCTCACCTTTGCGGCCGGCCTTTTTGGTTTCGGCTCTGCTTTGGTAGGAGCAGGTTTCTGCGAAGAAAGCACAGGTAAGGCCGAGATTTACCTCTCAGTAACCCCCTTTTCGGTACAGGAAGGCGCGCACACCCCACACACCCCGCTCCCGTACTCACAGCGGACAGCCGCGCCGATCGCCTCTTCGGCTATGAACCAGGGAAAAAGAGAAGAGAAACACCGTAAGCAGGGTGCTGGGCGACAGCGTCCCGGGCCTGGTTAGGCCCGCCTCGACAGCTGCACCTACCTCCTCGGGGGCCTCCCCGTCCGCCGCCGCCACCTGCCAACACAAACACCGCGAGTAAGGCGGAGCAGGAGGGAGGGCGGCCCGTCCCGTGACGCCGCCGCTCGCCCGCCCGCCCCTTCCCGCCGCTTTCAGAGTTCGAGTCCCTGAGCGGCGAGGCGGCCGGCCGGACCCTGCCGAACCTTCTACACATCACCGACGCCATGCCCAGCGGAGCTCCCCCATCAGGGTGGCAAAGGGAAGGCGACGGCCACAGACAGCGAGCGCTGGTGGCGGCCTCGCCTGTGACCACGAAGCGCCCGTTTTCTCTCCGGGCCCCGTCCCCGCGCTGCCAGACCGCCTTCCTCCTACCCTCTCACACACATACACATACACCCCACACCAGCCCGGCCCCAGTGGCGCGGTGCCGCTTTGGGCAGCGCTTTTCCCCGTGGTCGGTTCCGCTCGCTTCACCTTTCTCTTCGGCATGGCGGCGAGGCTGCGCGGCAGCGGCTCCCGGCCGCGACCCCCGGAGCTGTGGCGGCGGCTGCTACTGCTACTGCTCCCGCCCGGCTGCTGCGTGCGCGCGGTGCCTCACGGCTGAGCGGCTGCCTGCGAGACAGGCTCGCTGCGCAGGGAAACCGCCCCCCCACCCCCCATCCATCCCAGCAGCGCCAGCGGCACCGCAACAGGATCCAGCCGGATTGGGCGGGGGGGCGACGGCGGGGGAACGCTCCCAGGCCACGCCCCCTCCCCGGCTCTCACCTAGCGCCCGCCCCGCCGGGAAAGGAGGGAGAGAGAGTAGGCGGCCTCCTGATTGGTTATCCCCGTCACGTGATTCCTCATGTCCCAGTTTCCCCTCACGCAGGCGCCCGCTGCCATCCCATGTGAGCGGTGGCGTCTGTCCGAGCGGCGCGTTAACGGGGGGGGAAGAAGGAAGGGCAGGGGGCGTGCCCGCCCTGTGGGGAGGCGCGAGGCATGGCGGAGAGCGGCGCCTGGCTGCTGGTGCTGAGCTCCGTGTTCGTCTGCAACGCGCTCAAGATCCTCCTGCCCTCCTGCTCCTCCATCGTAAGTGACGTCATTGCCCCTCCCCGGTGGACGTTACTAAATGGGGGCTGTGGCAAGCGCCTCCTCTGTGCTCTGGTAGTGGGGCTGTGGGCTGGCCCTCGCCTCTGACCGGGGGGGTTGGCTGGTGGGGAGCGCCGGGTGGATGGGATGGGATGGGGTGGGGTGGGGTGGGGTGGGTGTGAGGTCGCGGGTCTCAGGGTGTTGCAGAGTGCCCGGTGTTTTTTGTGTCACACCCACCTGAGGGCTGCGGGAAAGTGGGAGGTGGCGGGGAGCGGCGGAGGGTTCCCCGTGCTCGGCGGTACCGCATCGCCTGCTCGTTGTGTGCAGCTCGGTCTGGTCCTGCTCCTCGCCTAGGGAGAGGAGAAGGTGGAGGGAGTGATGCTGAGAGGAGCTGGAGGTGGCGAAGCCCATCAGCGTGGTTGTGGGACACTTCAGTAGCCCCTATGAAGCGGGTCTCTTAAGTGATGAATTATCAGTGTTTTAAAGGATGCTTCTGGCGCTACAGGTCTTGGGGCATGTCATGGTACTTAAAGGACAGCAAAGCTCAGTCTCCTGTGTTTTCAGTAGATGGACATCTCCTTGTTGAGAAGGGAGATGGGTGGGTACAGGGATTAAGGAGTTAGACATCACAGGAGAGAACTTTGAGCCACAGTCATGAATCAGAGCCCTCTGCTCTGATCTTAAGCATTTCTGTGAAAGCGTGGATAACAGAGTTATAGACCAATAAATTCTGTGACTGACAGATAAACCGACATGTGAGCAAGCACCAACCATTCTGCTGTTTTCTGTACACAGCTTCACTGGCACACAGATTGGTGCACACTCATCAACAACGGACAGAAATCCTTTAAAACATAAATTACTCTTACCAATGTGGGAAATTGAACTTGGTGTTGCAATAGATGACAAAAGTCTCTGCTCAACTTTCTGGTGTGGTCCATGACAGAAACCAGTGTCATGTTCTCGTTGCAGTACTGAGAACATCATTTGTAATGGAAAAATTGCACATGTCTTACTAGAATCATGGAATGGTTTGGATTGGAAAGGACCTTAACAATCAGCCAGTTCCAACTCCCCTGCCATGGGCAGAGACACCTTCCACTAGACCAGGTTGCTCAAAGCCCCATCCAACCTGGCCTTAAACACTGCCAGGGATGGGGCAGCCACAGCTTCTCTGGGCAACCTGTGCCAGTGCCTCACCACCCGCACAGGGAAGAATTTTTCTTGAGGAAAGCTAGAAAGATTTACTAAATAACAGCAAGAAAAAGATTTTAAGTCCTTTGTACCTTCATTTCTAAGGTAAAAGGAGTTGATGACCCAATAGGCAGGTGATGCCTCATGAAAAGGAAGCAGGAAAATAAAAGATGTGAAAATGCTGGTGAACACAAAATGAGGTTACCTTTTTACATTTCTGTCAGCAGGAAGTCATTTTAGCCAAGAAAATAGCAAGGAGTTGTAAAAAAAAAAAAAAAAAAAACAAACAAAAACAAAACACCCTCTTAAACGTGCAAATAAGATGTAAGGAAAGTAAAGCAAATTTATGTTTCTGGTTTTGAGGCGGTGATGAGATACTGCACTAGGTGGATCCCAACTCTCAGCCAGCAGGGCAGTTTGTGTGTTTCTAACAGCTCAGACTAGGCAATCTGTAATCTAGATGAGAGATTCGCAATTTGTGAGCTATGCATTATACTAAAACTGGGCTGTTTGGACCCTTCCTGAGGCTGCTGGAGCTGGAAATGATAATGAAGAATGAGTATGGGGCATTGCTGGAGCTGGAAAGGGTGATGATGAAAGGAGCACTTTTCTGTCTCTTCCCCTTCTGCACGTGTCAGGTGCTGTTCATCCAGGCAGTGCCTGATGGGAGTTGCAAAGAGGTAGGGCAACAGATCAGCCCAGGATGTAGTGACAGCAGAGTCTGAGAGGTATTGTGGCAGCAGCATTGAGCGTGAGGAAATGAGATGAAAGCTGACGCTGGGTGAATAACTGGTACTATTTCTTTACTTCTTAGATATCCAGATTGTTGCAAAAGGATGCAGAGCAGGAATCCCAAATGAGAGCTGAAATTCAGAACATGAAGCAAGAACTGTCAACCATTAGTATGATGGATGAGTTTGCTAGATATGCCCGTCTGGAAAGAAGGATTAACAAAATGACTGACAAGCTTAAAACTCATGGTAGAGTTGCAATGTTTACTTCTAGTTGCTGAAAAGCATTTTGCCAAGTGTTTTCGATTTTATATATTTGTCTTCAACTTTTTTTCTGTTCCTTTTAGCCATTTCCAGTGTTCCCTTCTTTCTTTCTTTCATTCTTTTTTGTTTGTTTTTTTTTTACTTTTTGGAGACCTTGCTTTTGTCTTTCAGTTGTGCATAATCCTGCATATTACCCTACATTTTGTAACGGAGTAATTTAGACTCATATCACAGGATGGTTTGGGTTTGAAAGGAACTTAAAAATCACTTAGCTCCAACCCCCCACCATGGCCAGGGTCACCTTCCATTAGACCAGGGAGCTTGAGCACTGCCAGGGATGCAGCAGCCACAGCTTCTCTGGGCAACCTCTGCCAGTGTGTCTCACCACTTTTTCTTAAAGGAGTTTTCCTGGGCTTCAGTGTGCAATTTTTTTTCTCCATGATGCTCATCACTGAATCATATTTCGAATAAGTCAAGGGACTCCTCTGCTGTGTATATTCATACAAAATGGTGTGTTGCTAGGTTGGGGCTATTTGGTTACTGTACTACAAAATGCTAGAGAGAAAGCAGTGATCTATAGAGTAACCAGAGGAGATATTTCCTGTCACTTTGTGACCCTGTTTGATTTTTTTGCAGCAGCTTTGTGACAAAGCTCTAGTGATTTGCCTCCACTAGGATTTTATAGTAGTATAGTTCACCATCTCATGGTAAAGAGTACACATAAACCTTTGGCACCAGAGCTTTTGCTCTTGTCTTTGCCCAAACTCGCTAACTGACCCTAACAGGATGGGAGACTACTTGGTTTGTCTGCCTCCTGGATGTTTATAGGCTCCTTGCTTGGAGAAAGAACAGTATTTATAACTGGCAGTCTGGATTGCTCTCAGTAGTATCATTCTTAACCTGATAATTTCAATTAATTAGATTTGAGTAGTTTATTTAGCAACCAACAATGTAATTTTGGAAAACTTCAGGCCACTTAGTTTGAAGACGTGCTGTCTTCACTAGGCTTCTTTATACTGGCCTAAGGTGCTGTAACAGGAGGAAAATAAACACAATAAGTTTTGATACTGAGCCTGACCAAAACTTACCTGTGTTATTGGATGAAACAAGGCAAAAAGTGCATCTACTGAAGCCAGGATTCTTCTCTTGACTAAAAGGGAAAAATTTACTTTATGCCTCATCTTAAATTAGTAACCACAGTGGCTGTTATTACTCTCATTTGGGAATAGTTATTCTTGTTTGAAATAGTATTCTTGATTGCATGCAACATTTCTCTGTCTAGGATATTGGTGCTTTGCAGCTTTTCATAGTAGCATTAATAAGGAACTACAGCATGATATAGACCAAGCACTTTATTGCAGAAGGATACCTTCAGTACAGCTGTGACTCATTTGAAAAGAGATTTTTAAGCACTGTCATATCCTGAGAGTGAAATGTTAATAAATTACAAGTTTTATGTAAGTATAATTCACTGTTATAAATAATATGGAGTAATATTTTCTCTTTTAACAGTGAAAGCACGAACTGCCCAATTAGCCAAAATAAAGTGGGTTATAAATATTGTATTCTACATCTTACAAGTAAGTAAATACTTTATTATGAACACAGATGACTAAACTGAATCCTCAGTAGTGTTAGTTCTCTCCTGCAGTTATTGACTGATATTAGGCATACAGGTGTTTGACATTCCAGTGCCACAGTGAAGGCTGAACTGGAAGAGTTTGTTGAAATAGAGTGGAGAGATGTTGCTGATAAGGTCTGGTAGTTGTGGATGGAAGGAGGTTTGAGTTTCACTGTAGCTCTGTGTTTCTGGTTTTGAAATGACAAAAGTTTGTCTTACGATAAGAGTTTGTCTTAGCTCTTTAATCACTAGGTTTTGGTTTTGGGTTTTTTGGTTTGTTTGGGTTTTATTTTTTTATTTTATTTTTTTTTCCACTTCTGTATGGCACTGGACCCAGACAAGTTCCAATACATGCAAATATATTACTTCTGTTATTGAAAGCAAAATACGTTTTTGCTGAAGATGCAAATCTCACTGACAGCTGCCACACATTTCCCCACTGTGCCTCATCAGATTGTCTTTGTAGTTCAGACTTGATGCCAAAGAGTTGTTTGCTAATAAGGATGACAGTGGTCAACCTGGAGGTTTCCTTAGGGTAATGTTAAAGTGAGTTGAGTTCCTGGCAGGCAAGAGTTATGGCTAAAAGCAGTCATCAGAATCTAACAAGTGCTATGTTTGTCTGTGTTAGATTAGAGCCAGGGTCTCGAAAGAAACTGGTATTGTCCAGTGTCTCACTGCTAGCTCTTAATATTGTGTGTAACTTTAAGGTCATATGGAGTTTAAAAATATTTTGAACTTGCTTAAGAACAATGTAAAATAACAAAGGAACTGTTCCCTTTAATTATAATTTGTCATTTACTGTTTCAAAGTAGAGGTGTAAATGTTCTTCAGTGTGTGGTGTTATCCAAGCTAATAACAATTTCAATTCTAGGCTACCTTGATGGTCTCTCTGATTTGGAGGTACTATGCTGAGCCAGTTACAGTGCTTCCGGGCAAATGGCTTGCTCCGCTGGAGCGCTTGGTAGCCTTTCCTACAGGGGTGACAGGTAAGGACTGCACACTGGAAAAACACACACTTCCCAAGCCCATGTGGATGCTAATGTGTGGACCAAGGGCATACACAGAGTGGAAGCACTTCCATACAGTTCTTCTGACTCCCTTGAAACAAGGAGGAGTTTTAAACGTTTGTAGCTGTTTCTTATGTATCCAAATCTTGTCAGTTTAACTGATGATAAAATGGGCTATTTGTCAATTTTATTTCTTCTTAGTTAGAGCAGTTTTATCTGCATCTGGATGGAATTGACCCTGGAGGAGATCCGAAATCAGAAATATTTTTGTATTAAGGATGCACTGAAATTAAGTAGAGTTGCATTTAAATATGGGCAAGTACTTCATAGGTCTGTATCGTTTATGTGTATTTCTTATAATTGCTGGGGTTTCATGCTAGTGTAGCTCCAGAGTGATTTAGGCATCCTTGCTTGGCCTTTTGCCATGCCTGTTCCCACCCTTTTTCCTGTCACACTTTGTTGCATTTTTGCCTACTTAAATCCTTTTCTTTTGGGCAGTTTAACAAATTAATAATCAGAATGGTACCACAAGTTGTGGACACCTGTTCCCAAGAGAAAAGTGTGCTGACTTCATGCTAGTGGGATAAGTACACGGGAGAGTGACAGGATGATATAGTGAGGAAATACACTGTCAAGCTAAAATGCTGCTGGTGAATCTTCATATTAGGTTTGTAAGCCCTAACTGCCCCAGAAGGAATTCCAGAATGCGTTGTTGGAATTTTATGTTGTGGTATTTTTAATAGGTGTCTAGAGAACAGTTTGTATCCAGCATGCTTTCTGGACAAGAGAAGAATCTGCTGCAGTGCAGGGTAGGGGCATAGTCCTTGGAAGACATTTATTTGAACAGCATTTGAAGTTCACACCCATGTCTGCATTCAAATCTCCTTTTTTGTCTTGGCTGATAATCACACTGAAGAGATCACTTTTGAGTTCTAGGCGATAAACACAAAATTGTCTGAAAATGCCCCCAAAGGTAGTTCCTTCATGTGTGCTGCGCATAGCACACGTATGAATTCTGTGATACTGTGTAGCTTAGTTCCATGTTGTCTGCAGTATGGATGTGCTGTGCATTACAGTCAAGGCACACCCTCTTTTCCACCACACCAATACAAATTCCTGTGCTGCCGGTTGGAATGACCAGACCCTTTCAAACAGCAGTAGCAAAAGTCTCTGTAGCACTTTTCTACATAGCTGTATGGGGAGGCAGGGGAAAGGAGTACAGATTTAATACTTGTTAAAAACTGATTTTAGTTTCAGAAGAAATTGATTTTTTTTAGTATTTTTTTTTACCTCTCAAGTCCTGAATTTAGGTCTAGTAAAGTATTCTGTTTCTGGCCAAGCCTTTAACTTCAGCACCTGAGACTTTTTCTGTTAGCAGATGTTTTTAGCTGTGGGTTGTATATACCAGACTTCAGCTCTTACTTGTGTTATTTGGTACTCTTCTGCAGACAATATTCAGGGGTTCTCAGGACCAGCATGGAGATAGCTGCCATTCTTTGAAGAGAAACATTTGTATCTAAAAGATGTTTTGTTCCTGTTCACCTTATAACTCTTTAAGTTTCAGGTTTTTATGCATCCAGAGCTATTTTTCAAAAGCCTGCTTGCTTCATGGTTATTGACATGACTTAAATCCTGTTTTATGTCTTTCAGGTGGTGTTGGAATTACATGTTGGCTTGTGGTTTGTAATAAAGTTGTAGCTATTTTGCTACACCCTTTCAGCTGAAGGAATCCCAGTAATCCATGGAGTCCTCAACTACACTTCCATTATTACTGTTTTGAATGAGCCTAGGTCTAAGATAATCTTTGTTCCTTCATTTGGATATCAGTCAGTATTCCTTTCGAGGTATTTTATCTTCCCTTAGTCTGCTTTTCCATTTGGTGGTCAGTTTTCAAAGAATAGCATTGCTGTTTATAAAGCCTCATTTTGTGTCTGCTTTGACAAGTGCATATCCTCACCAAAACCTGAAAGTGTTGGACTTGTATATTTTAAGTTGGAAATGCACTGGTACTAGGAGTTAATTTGGGAGCTTTGCTACTGCTTTGCTGTATGACGTGGTAGTTTCACCCAGAGATGGGACTGTGTTTGATGACAGAGTGGTACTAGAAGATACAGAGGAAGGTGGTTTGGTTGGCTTAGGGGTAAAATGGAGTTAGTTTCCTCCTTGTTATTTTTTTACACTAGAGTTGGTGCATTCTTGGGTTGTCTTGGAAAATATGTTATTGATATATGTGCAGAATCAACTTTTTGTCTTTCAAGAGAGTCCCTCAGTTGCCCAGTACAGGGTGGCAGGATACTTTTTTCTCACTGACTTTTGAAGTTCATTGAACACTTGTGTTTTTTCCTACTGTTATTGATAACTGACCTTTCCTTCCGTGGTATTTTTTTCTGCTTCCAAAACTGATTATCACTGAAACTATTTTCTTCCATGTCTGGGGGGAAAAGGTGCTCAAGCTCCATGTTAATGAAGAGAAAGTAGAAGGAGTGTGCTGTTCCTTCGGAGGGCTGTGTTTCTAAGGGCTTTAGCTTACATTAATGACAGTCCAGGATAGCCCAAAACAGCTATGTAAATGTAAAAAGGCACATTGGTGATTTAAATGTGTAAAGCAGTTAACAGGGTGGTAGCAGGCCAGAGGAGGAGGGAAAACAGTTCTCTGTTTCAGAGTAAAACTTTCTTGTGGTATTTAGGTACAGGAAACAGCCACGATATTTTGAATTTAAGGGAGGACAGAATTATTCCAGTACTGTGCCTGTAGAACAGTGGCAAAGTTGTGTTATCTTCCGTGCTGCAGTGATCTGCAGCCCTGTCACTGCTGCCCTCCAAGACAAACGGGTGGGTTTGTAAAGTTGCTGTTCCACAGCTCTTTGGTTTTTGACATGAGCCTGAACAGAGCCCTTGGGGGCACCTTTCCTTCCTCCTCTGGGCTTTGGTGATTCGATTCAGCTTCCTGCTCTGCACAGTGGAATGCATCTGTTCTGTTATTCCAGGCCTTTTGCCTAGGGCCCCTCTGTAATTATCACTGCATTGAGAAATCAGTTCAAAAGGTCATGATACATTCCCTGTATATATGCATGAAATGTTTGTGCAGCTTTGGTTTTGTTTGGGTTTGGTTTGGTTTTTAAGTGGTAATTTAAAAAAAGAAAAGGTTTTACATTAGGGTTACATTTAGCCAAGGTGAAAAGAGATGCATTAAATAGCAAGAAAAAAAGTGTTGTGATTGAATGTTATGTATAATTGTGATTTTATTAACAAAATAAAGCTTTTTATCTGAGGTTTTCCAGTCCATTTTTCAGTAACTACAGTTTTCCTAAAATGAAAAAAACCCATACCTAAACCAGCAACACCCCCAGTACATACACACTTTTTGGACAAGGAGATAACTATTGGAATCAATAGGACTAATTTATTTATTATTTTTCTAAAGTATTTGGGACAGGTTATTTAACTGTGACATTGACCTATTTCTGAATCTAAAGATGTGGCCAATGGTATTTCCACTTGGCTTGTTACACAGTTTAGCACAGAGAAATCAAGGAAAGCAGCACCATTGAAAACCTTCACAGCGGCATTTGGTGTTTATCCATGCATAGCACAGGGTCACCCAATGCTCTGTTTGTTGGCGGCTCCAGTCAAACATTTGGGTGAGTGAGGGCAAAAAGGCCTTCGGTCACCTGGTCTCACAGAGGAGTGTTGGATTATGTTAGCTTGTCTGCTTTTGGCTTTGGGAGAGCAGTGAAGGCCCTAGATCTGGTAAGAGTTCGTAGGGGAGAAACAAGCTCCTTTTCAGACACCAGAAGCTGTGCTTTGGAACCTGCCCCCTGTACAGCTGCAGCACCACTTCAAGAAGAGCTTTCCGAAATTTGAAGAATACACTGCAAGTAAGTTCCAATCTGAGCAGCTTTTGCAGTATCAGTTTGAAGGGTTTTTTTAAGTGCCTTTCAAAGCTAATAGAATACACATAATTTTCCATAACTTCACATTTTAGCAAGAGCTTCATGAATTACTGTGAGGAACAAAACATAATCCTCCTATCCCTGCTTACATAACTTTAAACACAGCATTTTTAAAGGCTTTGGAGAACTGGATATGCCTGACTTCTCCAAAACAATGGTTTACTCTTGCACATTCATCTTTGGATGTCAGCTGTGGAAGTTACCAGGCAAAGTGCTTTGGTAAGTTCCAACAGTGGAAAAGAATGAAGCTTCAGAGGGTAGTGAAAACACAGCAATAGCAAATTATTTTTGTTGTGTGTGAATTCTGGAAGCTATTTCAGGAGTGAAGAAAATAAGAACTTGCTTTCTTTTACAGCATTGTTGGTACTTGCCAAACAATGAACATTACAAAAGCAGATTGGTCACTTTGGCTGCCTAACGAATAATCAGCTTCAAAATTCAAACTGCAGAGAGAATGCAAAAACCTGAAAGCTGCAAAACGAGGGCTAACTTGGACTCCTGGTGACAGGTAAAAATGTGTGTGCATGTTAGGCTGTAAGATGAATACGCATGTGCACGCATGCACATGGACCAGGAATAGGAGAGGTGCTCTTTTGTGACAACTGACTTGACTTACCATTATGGAAAAATCACTGAGGGACATTGCCAGTATTTGTAAGATTTAATATGCATTTAATGAAGGTAAAAATATTGCCTTTTAAAAAAAGTTTTTAAGGATCCCTATTTCTACTTGACGTATGTAACTAAGTAGCAAATAAAATAGTTTGTATATTCTCATGAGGTTATTCATAACGACTGATGTTAGATGCTTTACGTGATGAGTTAGTAATGGTGGTTTGAAATCTGGCTTATGTAATCCTGTATCCTTTCACTTCTTCATTCTTCCCATGTTAGAACTGGAAGGGTTGTATATTCAAAACAAGCCTGGTCCAAAGAGTAATTTCTTAAGATGGTTTCCTTTCCACAAATGTCATATGAGCACAGCTTCTGCTTCAGTGGAACTGTCCTTCTGCCTTCTTTGGGTGCCTTTACCAGGAGATGGTTCATACAGCCCAAAGGCATTTTTCACTTTTGATTCAGCTGTTCCACTGCAGTCCTGCCTGTACTGGCAGTGCCTGCTGTGTTTTGATCTTGTACCTGATGTAAAAAGCCCACGATGCAAATTCTCAGTGGCTTCTGAGAATATGTATTTTTTGTTCAGCCTAATGGTTGTTTTGTTTCTTGGACCTGAAATCACACGGATACTCTCTGGCTGCTCACTGTTACTTAGCTCTTCGTCTGGCTTGTTTTCTTCTTTCTCATATTCTTCCACTGCAACTTCCTCTTGATTGTTCTCCTTCATACTGTCACTTAGAGGAGTTTGTTCAGTTTTCATCACTTCTTTCAGCTCCTGTTTAAGCAAATCTGTCTCTTTTTCTTTTTTCATAAATTCCAAACAAATGTGTTCTTCCATCAGTAGTCTGCCCTCCTGTAAATAGTCTAAAATGAAATACGAGGTGTTTAGAGTAAGTTTCCTAGGAACATAAAGAGTCATGAAGCATTAATGAAAACTTCACTTCCTTATTTCTTAAGTTTCACTTCCTTATTGCTTAAGTTGTTAATGGTATTTCAGTCTTGAGGACTATGACAGTGCTGTTTACTAATAAATATAACAGGATGTGGCAAGATTTAAACAAGATTACTATGCCATTAAATCCAGGTAAATATGTTTCTCTTTTTTATTATGTTCAATTTTATTATATGAATTGTCATGCAAACATGATCAGTAATGGCTAAGTATAGGTCCAGAAAAGTCATGCGCAATGCAAGAGATTTTACAAGAGATCAATGCAAGAGACCACATGAGATCTGAACTCCTTACTTGTAATTTTCTTGCTTTTAAATGTAACTTCAATACATTTATGGTTTTCTTTCCCTTAACTGTCAACACAGTTGCTTGTTGCATGGAGCAGGATATATGGCAACTCTCATCTACAAATGAGTTGGCTTCACTTTCTAGTAGGAAAAGGTATGTGTGTACTGAATGCCTACAGCAAATACATTTGTTGGCTGCAGGGGACAAATTCTAATAGGTTCTGTGCTTTGGAGAGACTCAAAGAGTACCTCTAGACTGAGGTTAAAGGAGAAGTGTATAGAGTTGCAATAGCTAAAATGGCTAAATAATCTAATACTGGCAGTGAGTGAAAACTGGAAGGGTCCAGCAGACAGTAAGGAGAGACATTCACACGCAGAACCAGAAGACGGGTGTTTTCTGTAAGGGGGTTTTCAAAGACAATGGTGACGAGGGTTATCTGGTGGGGTCTTGGAAGGCTGCAACTGAAGACAGAGTACAAACCACAGGGGTTAATGCATTCCAGATTCCCAGCTCTGTTACTGATCTAGTAAGTGACCTCAACAACCTGTTTCACCTTTGTAACTGCGTGACCTTTAGGTCATGTAATGTCTCCTACCATAAGTGCATGATGGCATTCAGATCTCAGTTATTTCTACAAGCCTTACTGTAATGAAAGTAACATGAGTATTTTTAGAAGGAAAAAATCAGGTAAAGGAATAGATGCGCTGGCTCCTTTCTTCTACAGAATTCTGTCAGAATAAAGGTGTTTGTAGATGAGTCCCTTGCACGCAAGTTTTATATGAGAACACAGTCAATGGCTAAGGATTACATAAAATCTATTTATGCACTGCAATGAGGAGATACTCCTAGCCCTGGAAGAAGTCTTTTCCTTTTCAGCAATAGTTCCTGAGCCAGAAATACATGTTGACATCAGCTATGATGAAGATTCACAACCAAAAATTTGAGTTCTGTATTTGATCAGTGTGGAATTAAGAAACTAATAACTAAGTTGTACTTTTACCAATAAAGCACTGACTTTTTACCCTGTGACTAACAACTGCATTTAGAATCATAGAATGGTTTGGTTTGGAAGGGATCTTAAAGATCTGCTGGTTCTATCCCTCTGCCATGGGCAGGGACACCTTCCACTACACGAGGTTGCTCCAAGCCCCATCCAACCTGACCTTGAGCACTGCCAGGGATGGGGCAGCCACAGCTTCTCTGCGCAACCCAAGTAGTACAGGAATATGAAGATGTCTTATGCTATGCAGCCGCTCTGCTGTCAGGGCAGCACCACCAGCACCCGGATTTCACTGACATTTCATGTTATTCTGTTGAACTAGCTCCTGTCAGTCAGATATCAGCTAATGGCTGTTAGACCCAAGTAACCTACCAATACCATTGGTTCATTCATCCTTTGAAGAGATCAAATGAGTTTCTGAGAAAAATGATAAAATATACCTCTATGTGTCCTATTAAAAGCTTCTGGCTCTGGTATTTTCTTGGTTGATTGTTTTTCTGTTCTACATTGAGCATCTGGGTATACTTCATTTACTTCAGCTTTTTTACTTTTATCTTCTGGAGATGTTTCCTCCTACAATTGGCAATTAAAGGTAAAAATAATAAGGGAATACTTGTTTAGTGACTCTCAAAAGTACACAATCATGCCATACTTATAAAAAGTTGTAATTTCTATTACTATCATATTCTTATTTTGTATCATTACCTTGTGCTATATGTTTAATATAATTACATTTACACAAAATCCACATCCTAGAAAAAAAGATGGATGAGGCGATTCAGGCATATTACTGAAACGTATGGAGTAACAAACAGCTTAGCTGAGAGTTTAAACACGAGATTGGATCCAGATCATTCATACCTTTGTTAGCTGAAGAGGGCTGCTTTCTGTTTCCTGAGCTTCGTACTCTGACAGCAGCAGTGGTCTAAAAATGTCTTTATCTACTTGTACTGATCTGTGTATACTGAAGCCTATTGAAAAGGACAATCATTAGTAATACAGTAGTTTCTGGAATTATATTGTAGATATAAACAAAAGAACTCTTTGATGACTGATAATACTGGTATGTGGCCTAGGATTTAAACATTTTTGTGCTGCATGTCTTAATGCCCTTTAAGAAAGTAATTCTTTGTTTTGCCTGATCTATAAATGCTCAAACTGGAACACATACCTGGACTTTTGAGGGTTTTCATTTGTCCATCATAAATATACTTTAGTTTTAGATCTACAAAGTCCTGTTCAGATAGAACATGCTAAGTCAGACAAATGCATCTATGTCCTAGAACCCATGGTAACATTCCAATGAAAGTTTAAGAGATCTGGTATAAGGCCTCACCTTTCAGGTTCCTAAATTTGTATCTTAAAAGAGTATAATAAACATGCTTGCTTCGATGCCTTGTGGTTTGTTAACTCACCTTTCTCAAGTTAATGGAACCAAATTCTCCAGAGGGAATGCTTAACACTGAAATATCTATGGTCTTTGAAAAGGGATACAAAAGGAGTGACTGAGACATTTAAAAGAAGTAGCTGAATGGAGATGGGATGGGGAAGGTATGTTCTGCTTTTGTTCTATTTTTAGAATAGTTTTGACATAAGTACAGTAGCTGAGAAAGTTACTGGCACAGCAGCAAAAATGTGATCTTGCCTCTCTTGCCATTTGACCTTGTTCTCAGTTTTGATCTCTGAAATCAGAGGAGGACACGTTGTAAAAACGATGGTTTTCAAAGGTTTGGTGGTAAAACGGCTGTTGAGGATTACTCTTGAAGATACGGCTCCGATGTTGTGGAGGACTTTAGTTTTCCCTTTGGAAAGGCAACCAGCAAGCAGTTACCAGCTGCTTCAGCAGAGATCAGCGGAGAGTTCCTGAGATTCAGAACTAGGGGGAGCTGTACCTCTAGATCAGCTGGTGTGACCTTCCCACAACTGAGCAACCTGCTCTTACTAAGAGCTCATTAAATGAACGGCTTCATTCGATAAATCAATTTTATGTAGGTACACAGAGCTTTCTGATAACCTAAGCCAGCCTAACTTCAACTACTCATCAGGAGAGTTAAAAAATGCAACCCTGCATGATTCTATGATTTCTTCTTTCCATCTGGGTGAAAATTTTTGCAAACAGAATAAAAATAATTACTTGAATAATTACTATAAAAATAATAATGTATTACTTTAAATAATTATTTTTTATGACTTGAAGTAATAAAAATTATTACTGGAATAATTAATACTTGAAGAAGTAGCTCTTTCTAAATCTGCTGTAGGAAAAATCAAGTCAATAGTGGAAAGGAAAAAAATTGTCAGTAATTCCAGTTTAAGATTTCTAAATCATCTGTTTCCATTAACTCATAGAGAATGAAACCTTTATTGGGCAAAAATATCAAAAGATCACATAACTTTGCTTGGAACCTTTTTATTGCAAAATATTAGGTCTCTCTCCAGCTAAGCCCCGTTATCTTGCTTAAAGAAAAGAAACTTAAATCATAAACAGTGAGTTAAGTACTGTAATTTAAATGACAATACTGTACAAGTCCATAGGTTACTAAAATGACAAAAAATTACAGCTGGTTCTGGGGTGTAACTAAACCTGGAATTCAGAGCTTCATAAAATCTGTGTCTGACTTGGAATGAGAAGTAGGAATTTGTGTTTCTTAATTGTACAGCTTGAATTACCAAGCTGTTCCCTGCATTTCGCTTGTGGTTAAGGCAGAGTAATAAATTTGCAAAGGCAAAGAAGGGGAAAGACATAAGCAACTATGGTAAGATTTTGTACCAATACCATAATTTGAAGAATTCTGTGGGCAATATTTCCAGCAGATATGCTTGCTACCATGTAAGTTCTAGATGCTCCTCTGTACCCATACGAAGAAAGCTCCAATCCCTTCTTCCACTGGAATATTTGACCAGTATTTTAAAGAAGGCTTAACCCAAGGAAGTCATGTTCAGGTCATAATCCAAAATTAAGGGTGTAAGTTTGTTGAGCAGGAAGCTCTCCTTCAGGGTATTGACAGAATGTTTATGATCCTGAGTAGGAGGCAAATATCACTTTCAATGTGGGGGAAGTACTCGAAATCTATTTATTAGTTTCTGTATAAAATACACAAATTCTAGATACAACTTCTAAAGAATATGATAATTAGAAAGTTGTAAGTACTTAATCAGTGCCTCCTTCAACATTTTTGTCCCTGATGAATATAGTGAGCACACAGGCAGCTAAGTTCTTGACTTCTATGATTTGTGGCTGGTTTTAGCTGTTGCTTGCTCAGTTCAAGGGACGGGATCCACTTGTCTGAACACAGGCGCCTCATGCTATTTGAGATGCCCTCAAGTATTCAGGATATCTACATAAGGCTGGCTGATAATACATAGGACTGATGGGACGCCTGTGTCCTTCTGGAACAACAACTAAGGGCCAGGCAGAATGTACTAGAACACTCAAATGGCACTGGATGCCTGTAATTAAGTAGTTGAATCCCACACAAGGGGCAGTCCCACTCTTAGGATGTTTGATAAGGAAGACTGTATATGATAGATATTTCTCTCCAGTAACTGAGCACCCATGTAAAAAAACAACACTCTTTACTAAAGAGCTCGCTCTTCCTTGATGGAATTAACTTTCTATCATTCTTTTCTATCATTCGACTGTATCATCTTAAATAACACCAATTCTGTAGAAACAGTCGAAAGGATGGACAATAACTGGGTTATTGCCCATTTAAATTTACTGATGCTATAAACCCAAAGGGCTGCTAAGGATAAACATTCTCTTCTCTCAGATAAGCTGACCATACGATCATCCCACTGGCTATTAAACCTCCTAAACCTGGTATCTGAAAATTCCTCCTCTCCTTACACTCCAACAAATTGCAGGTTGCTGGAGCTTCAATAATGGACATTGAAGCACCTATGCTAGAAGTAACACGGTGTAAGGATTTTAAAGATGAGAAAACATTTTTTAAAGACCTTATTAAATCCATTAATTTTGCTGGCATGAAAGCACTTTGAAAGCCTGTACTAAAAGTAGGAACTTGATACAGAAGGGTTGTTTGTGAGGTGCTTTGAGTTAGTGAACCAGGTGGCAGGAATTCTAGGTCCAGGGTAGCCACTTCTCCAGGCCAAGTCAAAGGAAACAGCCTGAAGGAAACTGTCTGCCAAAGCTCTGGGGACTGATAGCTTCACCTTGTTAAAAAACAAACAGGCAAACAGCTCTTGATGCAAATATGCACTTAAAATAGCAGCACTACTTCAGTGTCACTGTTAGTATACTCAAATTATGTATGCTAAACACTATTCATGATGAAAATTGGGTTAAATATTAAAAACAAGTCATGTATTTGTATTCATAGAATAAATGAGCAAAAAACCTAAGCACAAATTATATGTAACAGAATATTTTTAGCCCATATAAAAGTACTATATTAGCTTTTATTTTGGAACATATGTCCAAGCTATAAAGCAAATTAAGCACGCAACTAAACCAAAAAAGGAAAATGAATGTACACGTACTTTTTCCATGAGGTACTGCATCACTTTTGTCTTTTGGGATTTTAGGCATCCGATTTGCATAGATATTTTTTATAAAAAGTTGACGATCTTTCTCCTAAGAAGAAATAAACACCATTAAACTTCTAATATGCGTTAAGAATTACATGTTAACAACTTAATTTTCCCATGTTGGAAGAAAACTGTCAATGTTTTTGCATTGTGCCAGGCTGCGTGGTGACTTCGTCATTTACATAAATAGGAATCTGTCCTTTGCTTTCATGAGCCAAATCAAAATTCTTCCTTTTCAAAGCTAAGAACACACCTGTACACCTATGTGATCTTTTTTATAACACCATGTTCAGCAGATGAAGTCTTCTATGATTTCTTCATTTGTTGTTCTGTTCGTTTCAGACTAAGCAATTTTTTTGCCTTTACTTCCTTCTTTTAATAAAAATTCTTTACTCAGTGCTCTTAGAACGTGCTCAGTTCTGTTTTATAAAATATTGCCTGGGAAATGACATAAACTTCAGAGGCACACTTTTAACATTTATTTAGCAAGAGTCCTCTTGCGTTACTGAAATTTGTCTGAAACACAGAGGAGAGATTTCAGTAACTCTCACTGTATTGGGTTTTAGCATGAAAAATAGGAGCTGCACTTAGTTTGGAGATACAGGTTGTCTTGATAGCATGTCTAAATACCTTCAATGCTCTGAATTAACCAGGTGCCCAAAACTATGAATGTGGAAGCCAAAACTCTGTTCTGGCAGAGAAATAAGGTTAAAAAGTATCTCTGGTCTTTTTGCAGTAAAACATGCATGGTCTGTTTGCAGTAAAACAATAGAAGGTTTCTGAATCTGAATAGAATATTGGGAGAACTGAACACATATAGAAAACTGTGTGGAGCAATCCCAGGCACAGCTAAAGGTTGGGCAGAGAAGAGATTCAGAGCAGCCCTGTGGAGAAGGACTTGGGGGTGCTGGTCGATGAGAAAATGAACATGAGCTGGCTTCAGTGTGTGCTCGCAGCTCAGGAAGCCAACCGTATCCTGGGCTGCATCAAAAGGAGCGTGACCAGCAGGTCGAAGGAGGTGATCCTGCCCCTCTACTCTGCTCTTGTGAGACCTCACTTGGAGTACTGTGTACAGTTCTGGTGTCCTCAACACAAAAAGGACATGGAACTGCTGAAATAAGTCCAGAGGAGGGCCACGAGGATGATCAGGGGACTGGAGCACCTCGTGTATGAAGACAGGCTGGGAAAGTTGGGGCTCTTCAGCCTGGAGAAGAGAAGGCTGCGTGGAGACCTCATAGCAGCCTTCCAGTATCTGAAGGGGGCCTATAGGGAAGGTGAGGAGGGACTCTTCATTAGGGACTGTAGTAACAGGATAAGGAGTAACGGGTTCAAACTTAAAGAAGGGAAGTTTAGATTGGATATAAGGAGGAAATTCTTTCCTGTTAGGGTGGTGAGGCACTGGAATGGGTTGCCCAGGGACGTTGCGAATGCTCCATCCCTGGCGGTGTTCAAGGCCAGGTTGGACGAGGCCTTGGGTGATATGGTTTAGTGTGAGGTGTCCCTGCCCATAGCAGGGGGGTTGGAACTTGATGATCTTAAGGTCCTTTCCAACCCTAACTATTCTATGATTCTATGATTTTAGAGAAGCACTAGAGTGTGAACTGTACTTCCGAATAACTTACATTTTGGAACAGTTTTACATTAGTGTTCTTGGGACTGTAACTGTTCCTGTCTCCTGGATCTGCACATATAGGAGGAGATCAGACTCTGGCAGGCAAGTAGCACTGCAGGTCCAGGAAAAGCACTGTACAGCTTCTGCTGCTGGGCAGCCTTGTTGCTGCCAACTAACAGGAGGAACATTTCTGCACCTGATATAAACAGCGAATGCCCTTGTACAGAAACACAAAGCTGCATGAATCTTCAGGAGGCACCGGTTCTGCCCTTCACAATGTCTGGGAAAGCTCCCCATAACAACATCTTTCGCATTTATTATGATTCCATTTAGAAGGAGGATGCTCCCTAGCAGGGCCAATGGGTGGATCAGTCACTTTACACAGAAATTAAACAGTGTATTTTAACTGTGTAACTAACAGTTTAAATTACTAAAAAGCCAGAAGGGTTTTTGTGTTTTCTGGAATTTGTACTATTTTTTCTTGTTTACAACTCATGACATACCATTCATGGCAGTTTTGTTTCTACTTCTATTTAGTGTCACTTTTAGGTTTTTCTGTATGTTTGGTTTACAGACATTACAGTAAGTGTTGAACTGGACATACTTGTCCCAAAAATATTTGCCTAAAAACGAAGCTGGAATTTAAACAAACGATTGAAACATTTATGTATGACTTTTTGTTATAGTTTTTCAGATTGTAACATTTGGCTAATTTTAATTTGAAAGTGTTTTTGTAAGGGAGCTCACTTTAAATTAGTAGGTAAATATATTGACACAGATATATCAAAATGGTAGCAAATTGGTGTGGCTTATTTGTTCAAACTGTAATGCATTCATCTCTGTTTAGAATATTTATTGATTTACTTTGAACTTGTGACAAAGAGACCCTACAATAATTTCATCATTTGATATTTGACCTTTTTTTCATAAACTATAGACTCAATTAGGAAACAAAAATCCCATTACTAAATAATATAAAAGAGTAAAAAAGAATAGGTAACATTTAATACTTGAATTTTCTTGTAGGAGCAGAAACCTCTTAAAAAGCTTAAATACCTTAATTTTTTGGTGAAGAGAGTTAATTTCCATTTGCAAGGTCTTTGTAATTATCCCAGCTTCCAGAGCTTTTCTGTTCTCATTTGCCAGCTGACGACTAAAGCTGCTATTGTTCAACTTCAGCTGCTTTTCCAGGATCTTAAAAAAAATTATGTATTTTAATATAAGAATGTGCTCAGTGTGACTGCTTAAAAATTACAGTACTTAGCAGAGTTGAAAAATAAGTATGATCATGTAATAGAAAGTAAGCTTCTAATAATTATAGTCTACGGTGAACAATGCAAGAAATTATGAAGTATCTGAAAAATTACTTTTAAAATGAGCAAAACCTGGTATAAAATCTATTTTTAATTAACAACAAAAAAGCATATTTGGCATTCAAACATAAAAAATACAGCTCTACATTATCCATCTGGTGGATTAACGAATACAGTCATCACTGAGAAATGTTAAGACAACATGTCTGTTCACACTGAGATCTACTAACCTCAATACCATAAGGAAGCTTAGTGTAAATGAAAACTAGGTAATTTATGGAGTACCTTATTAAGGACTTTATCATTAGAAGCCAGTGCCCTGCACTGAAATTATAATTACTAAAACTGTAATATGGACACCCCACCCTGCATGCTTTTTATAGCTTCTCACTAGGACTTCTGTGAATAGAAAAAGTTTTCAAAAACCCACCTGAGTTCAGCTGTTCACATTTTCATTTTCTTTCATGTAATAAATGTATTTCATCCCTAGCTGTTCAGATGGTGAAACACCTCTAAGATTACCTGGCTTTTTACTGATTCTATATATAATATATCCTAAGGAATAGAGAAATTAATGAAATAGAAATTTCACTCTTCCAGTTTTGTATTAAAAACTGTATTCTTCCCTTTTTGTGGCATCCTGGTGGTCTCCATGTATGACTAACCCTGTGCTTTGCCAAGGTAAATTAGGGTCTGTCCTGTTGTGACTCAGAGGCCCAAGCAAGCGTGGATACCCCATGCTGCTTGCAGGGAGCAGAGTAGACACTGCTGAAGACTGCCCTTCATAAGCTATGCTTCTCACCTAACAGGGTTAAGGCATACAAGTTAAAATAATTCCTAAAATATCTTTATTGCCAAACTCAACCTACTTATACATTTCTGCCAGATTTTAAAATACTGGAAGGGGGCACTACTGCCATTTTTAGTATCTTATATTCAGGACTGCACTGGATTAAAAGGAATGTTCGATGTTACAGGGCTGTATCAGAATCATTAATGTGACAAGCAGCAGCTAAAAACTCCACTATTCTTGCACAAAAAAACTTTCCTATTATTGTTCCATAAATACAATGCTATGCAGATATTACCTGTATTCTCTTATCATTCACTTCAATTTTTTCTGTAAGGACTGACAATCTGTGATCAAGTTCCTCTCTCTCTGCAAGAGTTTTGTCTCCTGAAAGTGTATGTAAGGTCTGCAAAGCACCTTTAGCTTTTACCAGCGATGCTTCAACTTCTCTGAGCTTCCTGGATGAATTTCGCTCGTCCTCCTGAGACATCCTCAGGCTTTTCCTTAAAGTTCTCACCTCATTATAATGACTTGCTAAGAGATCCTGCAAGCTACATCCTAAATTTTCATATCTATCTATTTCTTTCAAGTGTCGATACTGAAGCTCTTTCAAAATGTGGTTTTCTAAGCTTGATGCTTCTAATTTGCATTGTAAGTCAAATATTTCATTCTTCAGCTCTTTAATTTTGTGAACTTTTGCTGACGATATTCGCTGAGCCACCGTGGTTTCTTTCCGGGAAATCATACTACTCTGCAGGCTTAAAGATGAAGCATTTTGATGTGGTATCTTCTCAGCTGGCAATTTTGGTCCTCCTGCATTCAGACCAAAGTAAACTGGCATTGATATATAGCAATCATTTCAGATAGCAAAATCACCGTGTGTCTTTACTGCTCACGTAAGTGCATATACTGCTCATCCAAGCTTAACTGCGTATTTGACAAAAAGCCCAAGATCTATACTAAGACTCCAATATTCAAGTATTTCACAGATAAATCCATTAAAGATTTTATATCTCTGTGCGTGCAGTTATTTTTCTGCACTAGATCAATAGGAGGTCAAGGTTCCCTCCTTTCATTCTTTGAAGCCATTTTCATCCTAAACAGCCATCATACCCACTTTTCATTACTAAGGGTAACTATACAGGCAGTGTCTTCTAGGGCAAACAGCACTAAAACTCTGGGAATAATTTAGTAAAGTATGTTTACATTAACACATTACTGCAGTGTCAATGGAAATAACTTTTCTCTCTGTAAATCATGCAGCTCACTGTAGGCATGATCTGGAAACTGATTCCCAACAGGGGGACACATAGATATGTGTCGTGGTTTGAACCCAGCTGGTAACTAGGAAAAAAAATAACTATTACAGCTCAAACCAGGAAAGATGTGGCAGAAAAACCCTCAACATAGTAATGCAAGATCTTAAAAACCAAGGTGATCACAACAGCACATGGTGAAATTTCTCTGCAGCTAGGATTTTTAAACAGCTTTCTAGAATTCTCAAGTCAACTGTGAACTATGTTTTTAAACCATGGCTGCTTATTAGTATAGAACAGTTATGTAGCTGTGTACACTGTTTCGATAGACCAATTGAAAGAGATCTATATGGGCTAGCATTCTAAGTGTATTACTGCCATTTGCCCTTCTTTATGACCAGCATTCTGAGTGAATTACACTCATTTCCCTTTCCTGAAATATAATTAGGATTTGAAAATGGTCAAGACTGTAAATCTGAGTGTGTTCCCCCTTTTCAGGCATATATTCAATTTCACTATGGCTCTAAAGACATTTCAGGCAGCATTTTGCTAGAGGTTTATTATAACGATTTATAGATCACATAATATTTTATGGATAAAATAGGCAAGGTACTAACCTAAAAAACACCAGAGGGAAAGGACAGATCTTTTCAAGCACTTCTGTTGAATCTAATGGGTGTTTTGCACACAAACTCTTACAGGAGCAGGCCCCAACCAGAACACCCCATTGCAGATGGGAAGCAACATCGAATCAGTGGTAGGAAAAGTAAAGAAGGATGCTGCTTAGGGCAGCCGTGGCCTTTCTGCTCCCACAACATATGCCAGAATAGAAGAAAGCTATAGCAAGCATTATCTGGAAAGACAGTGGCTTCAGCAGGGGAATGGGCTATTCCCTGCAGCAGCAGAACCCACTGCTCTCTCCCTCCTTCCCTGAGGGCAGGAGCTTCCCCAGCATTCCACAGCTTCAGCCCAGCTCTGCTCCTCCCTTTCCTGAAGCAGCGCCTGGAGTCAGGCCCATGCCTAGGTGCGTGATGTGCAAGGCAGAAAGTTAGAGGAAAGAATGAAGGGGGTGATGTATACAGTTCTCTGAGTCCTCTGCTATTATTCCTGAAATACCTGATACACTCCACTGTTTCAGGATACAAATCAGATGGTCTTTGTTCTGATGGTCCTCCTGGTGGAGAAGAGAAAGCAGGAGGAAGGAAAGAAGGCAAGCTGGTAGGACCTCACTCATACAGAACCATGTAGGGAGAAGAGACTACCAAATTCAACGTGATAGCAGAATGATAGGATAGAAAGAATTAGATTAGCACTCAAAAGGAGGAGAGATTGTGACTTGGTCAGAGCTCTAATTTTTTTTACATATGTTTTAACTAGATTAAGAAGGACTGTTGCCCTGTTGGGCAATCTCAGGCACAGCTCCATCCCTAGCAGTGTTCAAGGCCAGGGTGGACAGGGCCTTGGGTGACATGGTCTAGTTTGAGGTGTCCCTGCCCATAGCAGGGGATTGGAACTAGATGATCTTAAGGTCCTTTCCAACCCTAATTATTCTATGATTCTATGATTGTGAAGATTCAAGTAAACAGAGAAGAAACTGTAGCAGCCAGTTGAGGTCGAACACATTCAAGACCTTCTGCAGTGAACACATTAACCAGTGCTGTGAAAAAACTCATCAGAAGTAAAAACCAAAGCAAATGGAAAGTACGCAGGATCACACTCATGTGTTCTCTGTAATATGATTCCACTGCAGAAAGACTGACATAGAATCATAGAACAGTTTGGCTTGGAAAGGACCTTAAGATCATCCAGTTCCAATCACAGAATCACAGAATAGTTGGGATTGGAAAGGACCTTAAGATCATCCAGTTCCAACCCCCCTGCCATGGGCAGGGACACTTCACTCTAAACCATATCACCCAAGGCCTCATCCAACCTGGCCTTGAACACTGCCAGGGATGGAGCATTCACAACCTCCCTGGGCAACCTATTCCAGTGCCTCACCACCCTAACAGGAAAGAATTTCCTCCTTATATCCAATCTAAATTTCCCCTGTTTAAGTTTTAACCCATTACCCCTTATCCTGTCACTACAGTCCCTAATGAAGAGTCCATCCCCAGCATCCCTATTGGCCCCCTTCAGATACTGGAAGGCTGCTATGAGGTCTCCACGCAGCCTTCTCTTCTCCAGGCTGAAGAGCCCCAACTTTCTCAGCCCGTCTTCATACGGGAGGTGCTCCAGTCCCCTGATCATCCTCGTGGCCCTCCTCTGGACTTATTTCAGCAGTTCCATGTCCTTTTTATGTTGAGGACACCAGAACTGTACACAGTACTCCAAGTGAGGTCTCACGAGAGCAGAATAAAGGGGCAGGATCACCTCCTTCGACCTGCTGGTCATGCTCCTTTTGATGCAGCCCAGGATATGGTTGGCTTTCTGGGCAGGGACACCTTCCACTAGAGCAGGTTGCTCCAAACCCCATCCAGCCTGGCCTTAAACACTGTCAGGGATGGAGCATTCACAACTTTTTGGGCAGCCTGTTCCTGTGCCTCACAACCCTCTCCGTAAAGAAAATCAGAACAACCATTACATTACTATTTTATTTTTTTCCAGAATGGAACACAATGATGTAAAAGAAATGGGAAAATACCTTCCTGCAAAAGCTGACAAAAATACTCTAAAAACTATACATGGCTATACAGGGTGAAAATGTAAGTTATAATCGTGTTCCTGGGAAACTGATCATTTCAAATAGCTGTGAACAAGCAAAAAATACCACTTACAATATCCAACACAGGTAGTAGCTAATAATGATTCTTCTGCTAAATTGATTTGAAAAAATGTGACTATTCTTTCTGGTCTGCTAGTTTTATGCCAATATGACTTCTTGATAGCAGCATGTAACTCAGATGATAGAAGAGGTAATCAGTTGTTCTCTCTCTTTTTTTTGGTTGATTTGTATCTTACAGATTTGGTAGATCTAGATGAAATTTTGAAGCTCAGCAGGAAAAGGGTCATTTTTTGACATGTAATGCTGGGATTTAAGAAAGCATGGGTGTAGATATGAAAATATGCAGACATGAAAAAGATTATTTACTGTTAACATTTATTTAAAAGTATTATTTTTGTGTAATATGGTCATGCCACTGAAACACAGACTTAATTTTACTATATACACCACGACTACGCTGGCCAAAACATAGCACTTTTTTTTGGTCAAAATTGACACTTTTATGCAGACATATAATTTTTGAGCAACTTCCCTCAGGAAGGGCTTTTTCAGACTCATCATGTGATGCATGGCCAAAACCAGAAATTCCAGGAAATGTGTGAGAGTTTCCAAGTCCTCAGATTAGGTTTGTAAAGGTGCTCCTACATCTCTGGTGATTATCCTCTCTTGGATCATGAGTACTGTGGGATAATACAATGAGGAACCTCTATCTCTCTTCCCTCCCCTTCCTAGTGTTTGAAACATAATTTGTTACTTCACTGGAAAACTGTTTCCCCTGTCTACCTAGTTACTGAAAAAAAATGCCAAAGAAAGGGAACAACTGTACTTCTCAAGAGTCTCATTTTCTACTAACAGATAACAAAGTACCTTTTTTACCATCTTGAGGGAAGATACAGTGTCCTTTCTTCCTCTTTTCCTTTTCCTTTTTTTTCTTTTCCTCTGTTTTCTTCTCTTCAGTTCCTGATATTTCTAAATGTTTGCTGCTTCTGGGTGTTTCAGAGCACATCACTGGCAAAGCCTTCAGAATAGTCAATGTGAGAATTTTCACTTCTGTATTCACACTTCTGTATTCTCTACTGTGTTGCTTACAATTGTTACCTCTGTTACAGCTTCTGCTTCTAATACTTCTGGGCTTTGGGGAATCTATAGTATCCCTGCTTTGTGCCAGGTTCTGACTTCTTATCTTCTGTCACTATAATATGGAAGAAACAATCATCTGAGTTCACCACTGTGTAATAGTAGAAGACTTAAAAGTGGACCTCCATAACCTATCAGATATCAGAAGGACACTGAGTTGTTTGCAGTTAACATAAAAATACTAAACAGGGTTGAACTATATTAAATTATGCTAAGAAACACTGAATTACCTTTAAAAAAATCCAGACATTATTCTTTAACCCATAAAATAATTGTGTGGTCTGCAGGAAGTGGGTGAGTTTGTTTCTAGGATGAACTGCAATATGAAATATACTAGCTTGTGTTCAGAATTTCCCATGAAACTGGCATGCATTTTCTAAAGATTTACTTCTGTTTAAATAGAAACAGATACCATTGTTTGTTTCCTGTAATGTACACATTTTCTCCAGGATTAATGTAATTTAAAAGCAGCTTAATTGTATTTATGCTTAATATCTACAAAGTGCTTTTCTAAATTAAAAAAGAATTGTTCAAGTCTCTAAAACATGGACATTTCTAACTGTGTTTTTATGATATTTTTAGCCTTCCAGTCATGTCATAAAAGTATCAGTCATATTTTTCAATAATTAGATCACAAATCAAATAACAAAATTAGCATAAAACAAACCAAATCAAATCAAATAAAATCAAATCTTAGCTGCTATATTACCATTACAAGTAGAGGATATAGCAGCACCTAAAGCTGTACAACAGATCATATGACTTCGAGGCTTGAAATAAAGGTTTTCTTAAATTTTTGGTTAGTATTTTATTTTACTTATTCTCAGATTGTGAAAAAAAAAGGCTTGCACATAAAAGCTCACAATGTAGTCAAAATGTCTCTGCACAATTTCAGAAGAAACATTAGAGAGGATTTCAGAGTGTATTTTAAATGAAAACAATTTCTTCACAGCCTAAATGTACTTAACACGTTCGCTTTTGAAAATGCAGCAAGACACTTATCTCCATGTCTACGCACTCATACAGCTTGGAAAAATATCACCTGTAATGCACTGCTGTTGTCAGAAATGTGCCTCTCTGATGAGATGATGATCTCATTTTGTTTGACTGAGTTTGAAGTAACACTGTTGCTTCCTCTGGAATTGTCTTCCCTCAAAAGCCCAATTTTCAAACAAAATGAACTCTCCTAAGTGTTTGGCTTTTAAAATCATATATTTAGCATAAAATACAGAATGCTGACTAATTTTCTATATCTTTGTTAATACCTGCCACACCTCAATTTTTTTCTCTACTGAAGCAGCTGGAGAGTAGGAGAACAGATTAGTTCATACTCCTGGCAGCATTGTTTAAGCACTGTGGTTCTGGTAAAAATTATTTCTTGGGATATGATACAACCTGCTTCATTTTCTTAATATCACATGAAGACTATTTAGACCACTACTGAGATCAGAGCTTTATAGATGCATAATTCTACTCAGTACTGGGATAAGTTGTCTATATGGGGGGCTGCGGTGCTGTGTGAAAGGGGCATAGCAATTATCTAAAAGAAATCTGAGGGAGATTAAAATGATATTTTAGTTCAGATGAATTTTAACAAGTAGCCTTTACTAAAAAAATGAGAAGGCATTTTTAGAACATACTAAATCCTTTGTTGGCATTTTTGTTTTGTGGTGGCATTTGATTTTTAATTAATTTCTAAAGGGGAGAGGGGAATCACATAACTCCCAAAGAAGATTAAAAAGGGTAATTTAGGATCTCACAAAATGTTCTAAGTTGAATTAAAATGGTTTCATTACTCTTCAGTCCTTTACATGAATAACATTTCCCTGTGGAAGACTAAGGAATGCCCAGGGTTCCTGCTAAATGTGAGCCAGTGCAATAATCTCTTAAGAGATGAGAACTCATATTTAAAGATGAGGACTAGGCAAAGGCCATCTTGGTGCATAGATTTGTATTTCTGTTTAAATTTGATTTGGCACTGTCAACACTTTCTGGCCAAATTGTCTTTAAATCAAATTAGCTTAAATTAAACTTAGAACTACTGCTTTAATTTGTTTTGGTGAGAAGCATGGGCTGAATCTCACTATCCAGCTTGAAGAGCAGATGTTGAGAAGAAAATAAAATGGAAATGGAGAAGACAGAAAAACAAAAGGTGAAGGACGAGAAAGAAGAAAAATTAAATGAGAGGTTACTACGGAAATTAAGGGCGGGGGGAAGCAGTAGCTGAAGGGCAACTAAAATGGACAAACAGTAGGAGAATGCATGTTGGAGGAAGAGATGCAAACAAAAATAATTAGGGTCTAATCTACCTGTCAGAGATGAAAATGTAATGTCAAGCATTTAGAAACTGCAGAACTGTCGTGGGGAAGAATTAATTGTAGCCTGTGTACAAAACCTAAGTAAGTAAATCCAGGTGGGAGAACACTGACTTCCCAGAGGAGCATGGTGCAGCAGCCTGCTCTGCCTCACAGCTGACCCCTGAGCTCCACGGGAATCAAAACGGGGCCAGAGCCCAGCTGCTCAGGCAGGAAGGGTGAGGGTGTATCCTGGGCCCCCATACCTACCACTGGGCTCCTCCAAGGGCCACAGGCAGCACCCCGGTGTGCTCCATGCAACCAACAGCACCCCCACCAAACTTCACAGTGCAGGGCTCCCATGGAGCTGGTGAGGTCCCACCGCCACCCCACTCTCCCCAGTCACCTCAGAGGCTTCAAAGTCAGCACCCTACCCTAACAGCCAACACAGCACCTCAACACCCACCCCTAGGCTCTGACAGCCACTTCGAGTTGCCCCACACCTTGCCACCCAGCCTGACAACGTCCTCTTCTGCTCTCTCTGTCCAGAGCGAGGGAGCAGCCCCTTGCTACTGCGCACCCCAAGGCAGGACATCCCGCCGTCCCCTCTCATGAAACCTCCATCTTTTTCCACCCGGCCCTAGCCCACCCGGGCATTGCCCGCACCGCCGCCATTACCGGCCTCATCGCCGGGCAGCCGCGTCGCCGTTGCCATGGGGACAGGGCGGCGGCCGCGGTGCACCCCGGGAGGTGTAGTCCCAGCCGGTGCGGCAGCCTTAGCCCTTTTCCTCTCCCCGAGACCTGCAGTGGTGTCTGCAAAAGTGCTTTTTATGTACCTCTTATTTATGTGCCTCACCTTATTTATGTACCCCACTGAGGTGTTAATGGGAATTCGACATTTTAGTGTGCAGGCAGTGGGTCCCTCTGCGCTATGCGGCCGCTGAGCCTTGTGGTGGCTGTGGGGGCACCTCATGCTGTGTGTAGTGTGTGGTGTGAAGATGTCCGATATGGTGCAGCATGGTGAACGTCCTGAGAGCGTGCATGCTGAACACAACAGGCTCCAACTCACTCTGTGGGGTTTACACAAAACATTTATCCCATGAAAAGAGCGAAAAATCCCATGAGAATTGATGAAAGAAAAGGTATGAATGTGCCATCCCTGGCAGTGTTCAAGGCCAGGTTGGATGGGACCTTGAGTGACCTGGTCTAGTGGAAGGTGTCCCTGCCAGTGGCAGGGGGTTGGAACTGGATGAGCTTTACAGGTCCCTTCCAAACCAAAACATTCTTATGATTCTATGAAAGCAGCTGGAGCAATGGAAATCGTGCCCTGAAGTCCTGACCTGCCAAGCCCTGAGTGGGCAGAGGCTTTGGCTATATCCCGTTTTTCCCCTGTGTAGTTCAGTGTCAGTTTCAGGGGTGAAGTCAAATGGGAGAGAGTGCTAACTGATACTTTGTCTCAGTCCTGACAGTGGACATTTGATCAAGCGAGTATTTCCTGCTTTGAGTATTAACTATTAGCATTGCAAAGCTTATCGGTATGTTTTGAAGCCAATGACCACTGCCTCTATTGTTTGGTTGGCATATTCCAAGTGGCCAGTCATTTCCACTGAATTTGCTTACATACAGAATCTCCTTAAAAACAAGTATGTGTAACAGCTTCTGGCAATAATTTATGGGTTTGCACTAAGGGGGTTTTGTGTATTTGTTTTACAGGCAAATACTCTGAAAATACCAGATTCTATTAGGCTTTTCTTTTTGTTGGGCCTGCTATTGCTTCTCAGAAGAAGAAAGAAAAGACAGATGGTGAGCCGCAGTAAATAGTGCACACCATCTACTGTTATTTTTAGTTTTCATGAGGTTTTTCAGGATCCCTGTTCCATACATGGAATACTCCCATTTCCAGCTCCACATAATGGTTTACTTTCACGAACATATTTCCTATTGAGCATTTGGTCCTACCTACTCCTGGAAAGAAAGTATTCTATTCTATTTTAAGTTTTTATCCAGACTGGACACTGCTATATTCAGTTTTAACATTTGAAATGTGTGTAAGCACCTTCTAAAACCTAGGCCAGCTTCACCTCTGACATAAGGTCAGCTTTACTGAGCTTGGTGACATGTTGCTGACCTAGAGCAGAGACAAACTTGGCCCTCAAAACCTGAAAGTAATCTGTTACCATTTAACATTCTTAAAATACCTCTCATGCTCAGAGATCTCCTTAAGCAAATACACACAGTCAGCCACTGAACTTTGACCATCTCTGGGGTAGAAGGCAATGACTAAGTGCAAAAAGAGCATCCTGTATCACACAGTAGAATGGTGTGTTTTTCACCCAGGACCTCGTCTTAGCACCTTATGCCCTGACAATTTTCACCGGTGATGCAAAAAATGCAGCAGAAGGTTCTTTATACACAGAAGCAGCCAAATCACACCCCTCAGTATTATGAAGTGCCCTGACATGTATTTATTTCAGAGAAGTCCCTGAGCCCTGCAGTGTGGATGATGATCTGAATTCTTTAAAGCTGACAGCATTTGTAACTGAGGTTTATTTCAACATGATCTCTGCTATAATTACTTCTGCATCTATGCTCCCCTTGCTCCCCCATTTCTCCTTCCCCTTTTAATATGTAAAATTTGCAGCTACAACTGTGAAGCCTCCTTGCTGTGGTGAGGGAGAGGACATAAGCCATTTCATGCAGGAGGTAGCTGTGACAGTGCCCATGCAACATTAAATGTTAAACCAGCTTTGTGATCACCCCCAGGACTAAGTTGCCTGCTCCCTGTCCCTTGTCCCTTCTCACTTGTCCCTTCCCCCTCTCCCAAATATTTCTCCAGCCCTGTCTCATTGGTGCTCTACTTTGCTTTGCCTTTTTTGGACTGCCACCCTGTCAATCTAATGCGATAAGGCCAGGGGCAGGTGCAAACCTCTTGCTATGGCTCCTCTTACTAACCAATCCTCTGTCGGTCCCTCAGCCCAAAATACCTAAGAGCCAATAGGGTGGGAAAACCCAGGACCTGGGGGAGAGGCCAAAGCTGCTGGACTGCTGCAGGGGCATCCATTTAGGGCTCAGGTTAGTCCAGGAGCGGCTGAACAAGCACTTGGATTCCTCTTGGGGCTGTGGTGACTTGTGGATAGCAGGTGTGCTCTGCTGATCCACTTCCCTCACTGTCAACATGGTGATCAAAGTCTTTGTAGCCACGTCTTCGGGGTCTACAGCGGTAGGTGTCTTATTTTCAACATACTCCTCTTTCTGCT